ATAATGTCTCAACAATATTATATTGCAACTTGCAAGATTGTAACATTGCTGCAATATACCCAGTAAACGCTAGATATTCCTGAAATATCCCATTCGTATTCCAAAAGTTCCGTATATACCGAAAAAGTAGAGAAATGTTCACAGAACGTTCAAATAATCGTGAAATATTCAGAATATTCTATGAACACTACTTGTATGAGCAATAACATACACAAAATATTCATAGAATATTAATGGAACCTTCTTGGATCAATCTTATCGGACATTAGTGAAAACCGACGTACGTACGTATCTCATTACTTGCGCGCGCAGCGACTACGTCGTGATTGGCTGACTCTTGCGTTCACATTAAATTTTTATCAAATATATTTGTAATAATATCTTAAAACATCCTACAAATGTCCTGAATCGTCCTGGACATACTCAGGATGATCCCGAGGATGTTTTGTGCTGTCTGGGTTGAATATATGAAAATGTGCGCATCAAATTCAATTATTAATATTAAACGGAATTAATGTTAACAATTAATTGCATATGTATTTGTCCTCTGGAAATCCAAAGGACATCCAATATAATGGACAGAGCAGATATCTTACAGACATCCAGGGGTTATTGATATATATAATCATGCTTATATCTTATATTTTATATCATATCTTATATTTTCTTTAAGATAAATGACAATCGTACATGATTTGTTTACTACTATTTTATTCCACATGCTTTGGAAATCTGTGCAAGCGTACTCCTTGTCCTTCCATTACTTCCCACTCGGCATGTAATATTGCTGAAATACTGTAATGTTCGGAAATGGTACAGAAATATTTCACTGAATATATGATGGAATATACATGGGATATGTTCCGAATGTTTTTCAAGCATGTCCTGAGAATATTTTTGGAATATTCAAAATATGGATAAAAAATGGAACATTCCACGCTTATCTGAATATTCCTTGTACATTCTGTAAATATTCCGAAATGTTTTGGAATATTCTTTGATTAGGATGTTAATTTTGGATCGTAGGAACATTTTATAAATATCCAGGAATATCTAGCGTTTACTGGGTAATTGCAATGTTCTGTATGGGAATAGATATTGACAATTCTGATCTTTGTGTCACACCCCTCCCAGATAGCACAAGGATGTCCTTAGGACATCCAGGTGGCATACATGTAGGATATCCTGAGGACATCGCATTTTAATCCTCGGATCTCCTCTGGACGTCCTGAGAAAGAGTAAATGATAGCCGAATATTAGCCTCTGGAGAATCCAGGGAGATCCTGTGGAACATCCTAAGAATTTTTATAGGATATGTTAGGGATATTTTTCGTACGTTTCAAGAAGCAAATTCTGAAATTGAAATATAAATTAAGATTGCGTTCTGTTATTTACTGCCAATATTAAAAATCTAATATTGAAAATAGTTAACGTTCTTTGATATTTGAAGTTTTCGTACTGTACATGAATATTAGGCCTTCCGGGTTTGAGCCGTGTAATATTTTCTAAACAAAAAATCCAATATCTGAATTTCCTATGTTGAGATTGCATCAGAAATTGAACAGATAGAAAATAATTACATTTTTTATTTCCTGCCAGTTGCTCTTTGCAAGCTTTAAATTCTCATGACCAAATCTCAAATACGAGATCGCGCGTCGCATAGCGGTAAACAAACGAACTAGCGGCTGAATACTATTTTTTGTAACGTTTTTAGAATGTTGCGCAAAATAACATTTCTCATGAAATATTTAATAAATAATAATTTTGGATATATGAAAATGTGCGCATCAAATTCAATCTGCTTAAAATATAAAACAGAAATTAACTTCCATATAAATAAAATCTTTAATTTTATAAATTAAATTATTTAAATTTATCTATAATATATATCACATTAATGTATGTTATTATATATTATTACTGTAATTGATTTTAGTTTCGCCGTCAAACAAACATCAGAAAATGACGTCTCGTGGATGTGACATATCAACATCATTTTCGGGTCTCATGAGACCTAACTTTAGGATATCTAAGTGGTCATTTTGTGATCAAAATTTATCGTCATTATGACGTCAGTTTGCTACTTGGGATATGTTTCAGAAATATTTCAGTAATATTACCGAAATATTGCTGAAATCTTTTAGCAAGGTTGCATTTGAACTGGTTGCGGACATTGAAACATTGCAGAAACGGTCGTGAAATATTTCTGTAATATTGTTGAAAGGTGTAATATTTCAAATGAAATATTGCAGCAATGTATCAGAAATATTATATGCCAAGTGGGTTTACAACCGATACTTCACACACTTTGACCATGTTTCACAGAATAATGATATCTGCAAAGATGAGGAATTTAATAAAAGTACATAAAAATATTTAATGATAAAATTCTCAATCGACACATACATATATAAAATTAAATAGAAATAGTACAGGTTATGGTATGATATAACTCTACACAACGTGTATATCTAAAATGTCTTAAAAATGTCTCAGAGATATTTAAAACGTTTTTTTTTAGAAAATAACATTACAAATATACTTTTTTCTCACTTACGTTACGCCGGTTGCGGTTAGTTTGCACGTAGGATTCACTACGGGACCAACATAGGGCGCGTTCCACTTAACGACCGCAACGCTCGCGAGCATCTTTGTTTA